TGACCGTCTAGTTTCAGAGCGGAACTCGCGATATTGTCTTGCAGCATCACTTCAAAGGTGCAAATCACATGCCAAACAGAGCGACTCAACTTGCTAATCTGTCAAGTCCTCTTTGTGCAGCCTCTATACATTCGAACAAGCGGACGATGTCGTCAGCGAACTACAAGTTGCACAGGTTTTCTCCAGCTGCCCATTCAATACTTACATTTTGGAGACCACTTAGTGCGTTCTCCAGTGTTTCATCTATGACGAAATTGAGCAGGGATGGTGAAAGAGAGCACCCTTGACGAACGCCACTGCTAGTTACGAACGGTCTACTCAGCTCGCCGTAGACTCTTACGCTACCAAAAGTGCATGAGTATAGTAAACTCAGTATGTTTACGTACTTATGCGGCATTCCTTTGCGAAGGAGCGAACCATAAGGGATTCACGATCAACTGAGTCGAAGGCTCCTTTTAGGTCAAGGAACACGACAACCGTTGGCCGACAGCGCGTATGGTTTAGCTCGAGGACTTGACGCAGAGGGAAGATTCGATCGATACAACCGAAACCTGGTCGAAATCCTGCTTGTTCGTTGATGTTCGTCTCCCTAACCGTCGAATTAAGATGGAGGCTAGTAACTTGGTGATGACTGGGATCAAACTTATTCCACGGTGGTTTACGCAGTCGTTGGAACGATCACTGATTCGCTCCAGGATGATGGAATGCGCTCGTGTGATCAACGTCATGCATTAAATCAGTAATTAAGTCTACGAGGTCATCGCCTCCCATCTTCAAACGAGTGGGAGGAAGCCCGTCCGTCCCCGCTACTTTTTCTTTCTTCAGGGCTTGGATGCAAGATCCAACTGCTGCTGAATTAGGAGATTCAGACACTGACCACGGAGCCTCAGCTACACCGGAGGAGATAGCCTGGCCAACTGAACTGTTTGCTGAAGGACTCCACCAAACTTTCAAGCTGTTGTTCCCTATTGTGAACAGCCTGCCCACTTTTGTCGCAGGTTGTTTCACTAAATGTGGTTCGCCGACCTCCTGTATTGCGTACCAGTTGGAACAGTCTTTGATTATTCCCTGATGCAGCTGCTACTTCCATTTCACTAACTATTGTTAGCCACCAGTTCTCACGGTCTTTCTCGATTTGACGTTGCAGACACCACTTAACCCTGCCTTGATCCAGGGTGGTCGGGATTTGCCGCTTGTTCTCCACCAGTGCAACCGACTGGTCAGATATTCAATGCCTCGGTCGGGCTACCGCTTCAGATCCACAAGCAACCCTCGCTGCGGAGTGCACTATTCGGCTAATCTGATCCCACTGTTCATCTACACGACCACCCCGCAGCGCGTTCAGTTCTTGCCCTAGTTCTGATTCAAAACGGACACGAACAGCTGAATCAGCTAAGCGATGATCTGCCAATCGAGTTTGGTGGGATTTTCCACGGTCAGTGAGTTGAAGAGCGAACTGCATCAAAACTAATGCATGATCAGATTCAACGCAGATGGTCCAATAGGAACTGCAGTTTTGTACTGAACCACGCCAACGGTAACTTACTGCTATGTGATCCATTTCAGTTAGCGTACCAGTTGAACTGGAGCGCCACGTTGGCGTCCGTCGAGAGCTGTGTCGGAAGTTGGTGCTTGATAGGAACAGATGATGGTCAACGCAGAACTGAAGAAGTCGATCACCATTATCTGTTTGCTGGCAGGGCAGAGCACAAAGACACCCAAGTAAGCTTCTGACGCGCTCAGTTTTCCAACTTCAGCATCAAAATCACCTGCGAGAACAACTATATCGGAGATTCGACTCAACCGAATGAGTTTTTCATAAAAATCGTCCTTTTGCGCGTTAGAACTGCAGTTGGTCGGAGCATACACGGAAATGAAGAATAAACATATTTTGGTGTTGCTTCCCTCCCGGACGCTGATAGACCCTTGAAGCGACCGTTGACGGGGATCCAATGAAGTAATGCGACTCCGGCTGAATTGTTGAGTGCCATGTCCACACCACGCTAGCTTACTGAACGGGCTCCATCACCTGAAGTGCGGAGGAAGAATTTCGAAGACAACCCTGGTGCACTTAAACGGTTTATATTACTAGGATCTCGAGTTGCGCATCCAATACGCAGGAGACATCAATGCCCAAAGAGTCCATTGTACGCGACAGACACGCTTGTTGACCTACCTGCATCAG